TTTTTTTTTTTTTTTTTTCTTCTTTCTTTACCTACCTGCCTTTGAGTCGTTGTCGTTGCTACGTGTACCTAGGTGCCTGTGTAGTGTAGTGTAGTTTCGCTCTTCCATACCTATCGTGTTGTACACCACACAGCACCTCACGACCAACGACGCGCAACGAGCAAGACCTCGCAACCTGAGAACGAAACCCGAGCCCGCCCGACCAATGCCAGCACCAGTGCCCACACCCACTCGCACTCCCTCCGACCCGACCCGCTACTCGCTGACAATTAGAAGCCTGAGACTCACGACGCAGCAGTCGGCCGAGAAAACAATCGTCGGCGCCACGGCGCATTAGGTAGCAGGCACTAAGCAGCTCCCCCACCTCGAGGCGCGCGGATCGTTGTTCCTGCTAGTGTGCCTGGCAGGGAAGTGCTTGCTGGCTCTCTCTCTCTGTCTCCAGTCTCCATTGTATGGATTCGCCCCTAGGTACACCTTGCGCCCTCTTTTTTTTTTTTTTTTCCCCGCTCGAGCAGTCGCGCTCGCTCACTCACCGCTTGTCGTCAGACCACTTTTGCCCGTGCCTGCGCGTGCCTGTGGCGGAGGGCCGGGTGAGGCGTGCGTTGCGCTGCAAGCCGCTGCGCGTGGCTTCCCGCATGTTGGCAAGCTGCCGGTGCCTGCGGCGCTCGCCGCTACCGGCTTGTCGACTTGTGGGTGAATGGGTGAGTGGGTTTGGTCTTTTGTTTTGCTTGTTTTGCTTGCTTGCGTTCTCTGCGCTTTGCTGCTGCTGCTGCAGGACTGGTGTTTTTTCTTTCTTTCTTTCTTTCTTTTTTTCTTTCTTCCACAACACCAACGCCGACCTACTTACACCACCGCGCATATATCTGCCGGTACGCACGATGCAATGCACACACTTCTACAATACACATCCGCATCGACATCCATTCCCTACTACGCACTGTACACACTCGCGCTGCGCGCACTCGTTCCGAGCCCCTCCCACTCCATCCATCTCTCCCTCCCCAATTCCCAACCCACCAGCTCAACCAGCGTACCGCGTCCCTCCAGCCTCCAGCTCCAACCTCCAGTCTCCAACCTCCAGTCTGCAGCCACCGCCGCCGCCGCCCGCGGCCAAACCTCCCTGCCCTTCTGTCATACTCAGCCTTCCCTGCCCTCCCCAGCCCAGGTCTTCCCTGCCCGCCCACGCATTACGCACTTCCCTCCCTCCTCCCGCCACTGCCGATGCCGATGCCGATGCCGATCACGATCACCCACCGCGCGTCATAGCCATCGCGGTCACGAGTCAAGTCGAGTCAAGCCAAGCCAAGCCAAGTCAAGTCCACTCGTCGTCGTGTCGTCGGCATCGGCGGCGAAGTCAGAGTCGGAAATGCTGCTGCCCGCTGCTACCGTAACCGGGCGCTACCGCTGCATCACTTCCCTCGCCTACTCTAGCGCAATCCTACCTACCGCACATTACCGTGTGTGTGTGTGTGTGGCGCCCAATTGGGCGTGGCGGCGGACCTGCCTCCGCTGGCTGCTGCGGGCGTCACGCGTCGTCCCGCGGCGAGCGTGCGTGTGCTGCAGAGCCGTGCTTGCGTGCCTGTCCACGCTGAGTCAAGGCTTGGTGCTGTGTACCCCTACCTACTGTACGCGAGGCTGTTGCTACGTAGGTTACTACGCGGGTATAGTAGGTATGTGGTAGGTGGGTGGGTGCAATACGCATCAGTGTGGTGGTGGTGTTGTTTACCTACCTGTTTGTCTACCTAGGTACTGAGGCAGCTACCTACCTAGTAAGCTGCCTATACATTGCGAAGACCGCTCGAGCCCTTTGCTACGTATAGTATAGCTACTGGTACACCACCACACACAAATACACACACGCATGCATCCCACATATATATAATAATCACTGCCTACCTACCCATCACCACCCTTATAATCAAGCAACCACGCCAAGTACCTAAACCCCATCCACCTACCCTATCTACCTATCCCGTCTACGACCCTAACGCCTCCCCTCCCTAACCCAACCCAGCAGCACGGCACAGCACGGCACAGCACGCGCCTGCCGCCCGCATATCCACGCGCCTTGCGCCCACCCATATATACGCGCACGCACATGCACACTTAACTAGGCACATAGGCACATAGGCACATACATACACAAGCGGGCGCGCGGCTACGCGCAGCGCATCGCAACGCAGCGCAGCATGCACGCACTTACACGCACCTATACACACCCACCTACGTCCCACGCCGTCGCCTACGCCTACGCCTACGCCTACGCTTACGTCGTCGCCTACGTCGTTGCGGGCGCATGCAGGCGCTGTGTAACCTGCGGCTGGCGCGCTCGTGTCGAGGCTGCGCATGCAGCATGCCGTGTAGCGCGAAGCGCGTGCGCGCGGGCGCGCGGGCGGAAGCTGGCGGGGTGGTGCTTGCTTGTGGCTTACCTATATTTGCGTATGTATGTGTATGTACGTATGGCGGCGGGATCGGGTGCCGGGGTCGGGACTGGGGTTGGGGTTGATGTTGATGTTGATGTTGATGTTGATGGTGATGTTGGGGATGGCGTTGGGGTCGGCAAGGGCAGGGGCAGGGACAAGGATAGGGGCAGGGACGGGGACGGGGACGGGGTCAGGGATAGAGGCAGGGGGCGCGCGAGTGCGCTGCCCGTGTGGATGGTCGATTGGAGGGAGGTGGTGCGGCTGAATGCGCGTGTGGTGCGGTGTGGTGCGGTGAGGTGAGAAGGTGAGAAGGTGATGGACGGGGCGGATGGGATGGATGGATGGATGGATGGACATGACTGGATGTGCGGATGGATGGATGATCCGAGCTATGTACGGAGTACGTACATAGCACGAAGACGAGCCGAGGAGATGTGAGAGACGAGATGAGATGAGAGGGACGGGGCGGACGGCGCGCCCCGAAGTGATGAGCTGAGCGGAGCTGAGTTGAGCTAAGCAGGACTGAGCTGGGATGAGCCGGCCAGGCGGCGCGAAAGCGTGCGTGAATGCGTGAATGCGTGCGTGAATGCGTGTGTGAGGGAATGAGCAAAGTGATGAGGAGGTGATCCGTAACAGAGAGCTAAGAGAAGACGCGCGCCACGATGCTTTTTCTCAGAACAGAAAACGCGGTGACGGTGACGGTGTCGGAGACAAGTGATGTGATGGGGACGGAGACGGAGAGAGAGGGGGGGGAAGCGTTGCTTTTGCAGCGGCGCTCGATTCGCGCGCGTGTGCTTGCGCGTGGGCTGGATCATGCTTGTTTGCTTGCTTGCTTGCTTGCGTGCTGGGTTTTATTGAGTGCCGAGGGCTGGGTCCGGGGAAGTGGGAAGGCGTGTGCGAGTGCGTGCCGGATGTACATACATATGTACATGTGTATGGGTGTAGGGATGTAAGGGTATGTGAGTGCGCGCGGGGCTATCATGCTATGCCATGCCATGCCATGCGCTGCGCGATATGCTACGACGCGGTGTGATGACGAGGGCGGGGCTGCAGGTGGGAAGATTGGTGGCTTGCGGGCATGGGAAAGAGAGTGGGATGCGTGGGATGGAATGAGAGGGAAACGAGCGAAGAAAGGGCGGGCATGCCCTGCTGGCTTGATTGGGCGGGTATGCATGTCTGCTTGATTGGGTTTATGGGCATGCGGTCAGATCGCGTCAGATCAGATCTCGTTGGCTCATGGGCGTTGAGCGGCATTTCGACTTGAATATGCTAGATGCAAACGGACAAGTGAATGACAGTCTGCTCTCCGCCCTGGTAATGCTCTCGTCTCATCTCGTGCTTCGTGACATCCGATGCTCCAAATTAACAACTTACTTACTCCGTTCAACAACGCTCCGCATCATTTCTCTCTTCCTCTTTACAAATTCCCTCTCCTTCACAGTTCCCAGCTCTTCTCGTTCAGGCCCAGCCACTCCCTCCAAGAACCCTGCCTCTTCTTCTTCTCACCCGGCAGCACACAGTCGCGCACCTCTTGCCTCGTGACGTTTCTCCATTCCTCAGCGGGAATCCAGCCAATGTACGCGCGATCGCCAAAGCCGCCAATCCAGTAAACCTCACGGACCACGAATCTGACCCAGTGGCTCTGGTGGATAGGGTTTCCAGGGTACCAGGCCACGGAATCGGGGTGGTACTTTGCGAAACAGGCGGGTATGGCATGGGCGACGAGGTCCTCGGGCTCCAGGCGCTCAAAGTAGCCCTGCAGGGAGAAGCGCGGCAGCGAAGCGGGCGAACGCGGCGCCGATCCAGGGGGCAGCTCCCACGCCAGCGACAGCGAGACGTTGCTGCCGGCGGCGGCGTTCTTGAACGACGTCGCAATGTCGATGGCCAGCAGCGTGGGGTTGCCCGTCGCGTGCTCGCAGTCGGCGACGTAGTCGACAAGGCCGATAGGCGTGCCGGCCACAGATGCGGGGCGGCGCTCCTGCGGCGACGGCGCCTCCTCGTCCGCGTCCGTCGCGGTGCTGCTGCTGCCCTCGGGGAATATAGTTGCCAACGTGCCCAGCCCGCTCAGGTGCAGGATGCGCCGGGCCATGACGGCCGACTCGTGGACTGTCGGGATGCGGTACATCGGCGAGACATGGTCGGCAGGGTTGCTGAAGATGTGCTGCGGGGAGGGAACCAGCGACGCCGCAGCGAAGCTTCCGAGGAGAGAGGCGGTCAAAGACTTCGACAGACGCATCGCTGGAAATTAGTAGTATCTAGTGCGATAAGAATGTGCTGACAGGTGTGTCGATGGTGGTTGATCAACTATTGACGTTTTTGCGAAGCCGGAGAGCAGAGAGCGCTCTACCCGCAAGGTTGTGGTGATAGCGGCGTTAAGCGATAAGCACCTGATGTTGCCCGTGCTGCCAGCGCAAAGCATCCAAACACCAGCGTCTGGTAATACACCGGACGATATATGGGCGGCTTGCGAGCAGCCAGACATTTCTTCGAGCTACGATGGCTCCAGCCAACGCCCAAGTGCGGTTGGAGCAATCAGCACCTGACAATGGTGCTGACAGCAATTGCCTCATAGGGAAAGGCGCCGGGGATCAACCGACAAGCGAGGCTCAACTCATCCACAGCGCCAATTTCGACGGCCGCCGCAACGACGACTTCTCACCACCGACGACACCGCAAGGCCCCATCTGTGAGTTCCCATCCCCGCCGCATCGCCAGATTCACACCCGTCCCGCCGCAAGTACGCCGGATCGCTCGCGGCCCTCGTTTCTGGCCCATCCCTTGAAGATCCGACCGCTGACGTTGGCCGTGTCGCCACTCGCAGAAACCAACCAAGTCGTCAACACCCATCTACCGCCAACATGGGTAAGGTTCACGGATCTCTCGCGCGTGCCGGAAAGGTCAAGTCTCAGACCCCCAAGGTACGAAAACCCCGATTTCCTAGATGATGCGGAGGATGCGCGAGGATAGGGAGAGAGAGAGGGGCGGAAGCCCGATGCTTGCCCCGGCGCTCCGAGCGTCGCAACGAACGCGGATGCTGATGGTTTGCCACAGGTCGAGCCCCAGGAGAAGAAGAAGGTCCCCAAGGGCCGCGCGAAGAAGAGAATAACTTACACTCGCCGTTTCGTCAACGTCACCATGACCGGTGGCAAGAGGAAGGTAAGGGAGCACGACGCAACGCTCGCTCGACAGGAACACAGGCTCACACCCGTCGCAGATGAACCCCAACCCTACTTCGTAGACAACCACCATGAGTTAGGGATTAGGGCAGCGCTTCTGGGATAACGAATTCTGTCTCGGTTGGACTCAAAGTCTTTGGGAGGCGCATCGGGGGGCGGATCAACCAATTCACGATCTCTCGAAACAAATCAAGTTGTTTTTCTTCGGCCCAAACAAAAAACTGAACTAGGACCGGGAAGAAAAAAAGAGAAATGGGATACCACGACAAGACAAGCTCCTCTGCGAGAACGGGACTTGATGTGTGATGACTCATTCCTGTTCGAGGAGTTAGTTGGCTTGAGCCGACCCCGGATTCTGCCTTTTCTTTTGCTGGGAGGAGGGATGCACATGGGCGGGAGGGCGCAATGCTTTTGTTGCTTTGCTTGTTCTCTGCTTCTGGCTTCCTTGCGCTGTCTCATAGCCATGACGAGAAATAAATCGCTTGTCGTGCTGCTGAAATGCTGAGATCTCCAACCCAACCACCAAGCATCGCTCGAACAGTGACTGCCACTAACCGTGGTCTCCATACCTAACATAGCAGCCATTCACAAGCCACTCGTACGAATACTAGGAGTAGGTATTCTCAAAACTCTCCTCGCCACCCGGTTCTTTGTCATTCATTTCTCTTCCGCTAGGCAACAGCCGCTGACGGACCCACACCAACCACTTCCGCTCATCGTCCGCTTCCCTTCCTACATCATTTACTGTCCGCACTGCACTGCACTGCCCCCCAGCAACGCCGCCACATGCACAACAACAACGCCACAGCCACAAGTCCGTTCACCCACACGCGCATCCAGGGTGCGGTGCACCTCCAGGAACATCCAATTTCCAGAATGTCGCCCACGCAGCACGAACAGGCCCTGCCCCCAAACACATCTATACCACAGCCAACCGTACTCCGCTCGGAGGGGAGATAGGTATCATTATCCATATCCCCATCCATGTGAGTGGTGATACTTAGAAACGAAAGCGTGCCAAGCCGCTCCGAATCCAAACATCGTTCCGCTGATAGGAGCGTGTAGGCAAGCATGATTGTAGTGTCTCCAAACCACTCCATACGTACAGCTCACTCTTACTCCGTCGGTGGAATCAAAAACTGCACTCTTGATTGAATGGGTTGCTCACGGGGGCAAGGTAAGTTACAACAACAATACCCGTCCCTCCAACCCATGGACCTACTACAATCGCACACCAAGTCCGCGCCACCGCGCTACATCAGCGCCATTCACTCACTCATTCCCACCACTCTTCTTACTCTTATTCTTTGCCTCCTTCCAGTCCAGCACAAAAGCGAACGTGCCCTTAGCCCTTACCTTCCCAGGCACCACCCCGGAATCCTTTGTAGAGACCTTATTAGAGCCCTTCGCACTCTTCCCCAGCATCTCCGGCGGCACCGCTTGCGCGTCCTTGCCATACGTGTCGCGAAAACACTTCTTCGCCAGCCGCACAAAGCTGGTATTCTTTTCGGGGGTGGGCGGCTCGCCCTCGCCCTCGCCCTCCAAACGCGCATCACGGCAAGCCATCAAGCCGAGACTCACGACATTGGCCTCGAAGTCCTGGGGCGGGTACGGGCCGCGCAGAACCGTGTTGATGATGAAGCGCCCAGTCTCGCCAAACCCCTCCTGCAGCGTGCGCAGCAGGCGCAGCTGGAGCTCCTCGCGCAGCGGCGGCCACCACCCGCTCCAGAAGCCGCGCACCAGGGCGATGCGGGAGTCGTCGGTCATTAGTTCCTCGGCTTGCGGCTGCTCGACTAGTGTTAGGATTGCGGCGCGCGCGAAAGTGTCGAGCCGGCCGCGGTCGCAGAGCTGCTCGCTGAATCCTGTGAGGTGCGCGCGCAAGTCGTCGTTGTCGTCGTCGCCTTCTTGGATCGCGTTTTCGTTTTGGTGCACCCATTCGCCAAGATCGCTAAGTGCGGCGTCGTAGGCGGAGAGGTTGTCCCATTGCGCGAGGAATACTTTGAGCATTTGCTGCGCGATTGTGTTGTTGTAGGTGACTTCGCACATGGCTGCAGATTCGGCGATGGCGGGCCAGTGCGGGTCTTCGAGGTAGTCTTTGAACCGCTCTTCTCCCCGGAGCTTCTTCATCCAGCCGACCTTCAGTGCGTTGAATGCGAGGTAGGCTCCGTTGTCCACCGGGTTGAGGCCTGAGAAAGGTCGGTAGTCTTCATCAGTGTCTTTGATCCGAAAGGTTGAGTCTTTGTAGAGGTATGGATGGAGCACTACGGCCAAGCTGAGGCGGAGCTCTTCATCTTCAATTTCGTCGAGGCGTCCCATGACTTCCTTCAGTGTAGCCTTCTCCTCCTCACTCACGTCGGCGAGGTCGCAGCCATTGTCGTCTTTCGCCGGTGCCTTTCCTTTATTCGCCTTCTTCTTAGTCTTCTTCTTCTTTTTCTTTTTATCACCTGCAGCTGGTTGGCCTTGCTCAGTTGTAGTAGCAGCCCAATTAGTCAAGCTCTGGCGCTCGCTCTGATCCACGACGTCGTCATTGGGCGCAGGTTCCGTAGTGACACCGTCGTTATCAGTAGCTGGCGGGTCTTGCTGAGCTGTAGTAGAAGGTGGATCAGTCATGCTCTGGTGTTCGCTCTGATCCACAACGTCGTTCTCGGGCGCAGGTTCCGTAGTGACATTGTCACCGCCAGACGCATCGCCCCCCTCGGTAGACGCCCCAGGACCCGAGGAGTTCGCAAAACGTTTCTGTAGGCCTTGGATGGTTCTGTCCATCAAATCCTGCCACTCCTTCTCGTCCTGTCTCAGCCGCAAAATTACCTCGTCCAAAGCAACAGCTTCAGCGGTATAACCAGAAGCACGAAGAGCTTCTTGATGAGCCACAAACGTGGCGATGTCTTGCGTACGTTTTGCAGACAAGTCGTCCATGGCTTTCTTGATATTGCTGTACGACGAGGTCGGGTCGATGTCGCTCGGGTTGTGGGTGGTAAGTTCTTCGGTAGCGATTTTATGCGATGCGTTGCTAGCAACGTCATCTCTAATCGTAGAGCTATGTGCGGGAACATTCTCCGACTCCAGGCCGGTTTGAGCTGCTGCACCCGTGGTAGAAGGTTCTTCGGTAAGTGACTGAGAAACCTTGGCTTGCTTCGCCTTTTCGTCCTTCTCGTTTTTGCGCTTGTGCATGACGACCTTGGAGCCTCCACACGAAGAATCGCCCTTGCCAGGCGTACTCCTAGGAGTAGAACTGCCAATGGCAGAAGCGGCCTTGGCGGCATACGAGTACATCTTGAAACGTCGATGACAGGCGGCGCGGTCAAGCGCGGTAAGTTCAGTAAAGAAAGTAGAAAGAAGTAGAAAGTAAATACCAGCGAGGCGAAAGCGGATTTATACTCTCTGTGATGTTAAACAAACAATATTGCGACAGTACTAATGCAAGAAGCAAAGTGAAGTGGCGGAGCGGTCTTTGTGTTAGCAGAAAGCCGCTGCTGCCAGAAAGCGTCAGTCAACAACATATCAAGCAGCTGCGTCTTGGGACGCTTTACCCCAATGCGCTCTAAGGTAAACAAACATATGTTAACGGCGCTTTGGACGTTTGGTTGGTAGTACTGCAGGGCAGGTACAGACAGATACAGACAGCGTGTGGGACGGTCCCGGAATGATTTGCCAGTCTTCTGGATATTTGTCTATCCCACGTGATGACACATCCGCTCAAGCTGTATGAACATGTTAATGTCTATGAACAAGGTCAAGCATTGCTGAGCAACGCAGGGCCCGAACGAGTAGAAGCCACGCACGGCACACCGAAGAAGTCAAAGTTTGTATTGTCTCGTTACTCAGTTTACCTTACCTTTCAAGGAGCCTGCAAGTATTCAAGAGCCAGTGAAGGGTAAAGTGTGTTATGAACACCACTCCCACCCAAAGAAAAAGCCCTTGTTTGCACCAAAGTCCACCAGCCATCATTTCTCGTCGATCCGTCTTGGTGGCCTTCCTCGGTAATTGCTGGGTAATGAAAGCCATGATGGGAAGGAACGACTAAGAGCTTGTGAAACAGGGAATTGTGTGTCGTGGACACAACCAAAAGACCCCAGTAAAAGCCCTCGATAATATCAAAGTGTCAGTAGTCATCGTTTCCAATCAGAGTCTGCAAGTCGTTATCTTTCGTCAAGTCTGCCCATCGTCAAGTCTGCCCATTGTCATCTTGCCATCCAGCCGGTTTTTTTTATCGGGTTTTCTTTATCATCTTTTTTTTTTTTTTTCTTTTCTTAGTTCTTTCTTCCCAAACCATGACAGACCAAAAGTTTGTGGCGGAAGACAACGTGTCTTGCAATCCAAACCCTCTGGGAAGAAGCTTCCTTCCAGAATTATGTCGATCGTCGTCTGTCGGTCTATCAGGCCTTCATACCTTGTCAAGTCTTCAACTCCATGTCCCTCAAGGCTTTTCTTCACCAAGACGTTCCGTCAAGTGTTCCAAGCAATAAGGTTTACCATTGTCGATGTAAGCGACGGCGCATCTCATGCACGCAGCCCTGAGGCACCAGATGGGGCCACGACAGGTGGCGCCACACTTCTGGCAGATGACGAAGTTGCAGAAGGTACAGATATAACCACGCTCTCTGCAGCAGTCTTGGATGGCGGTGTTTCTGAAGTCATTACCACAGAAAACTCCCGGCGCGACCAGAGTGCGCTTCATGACATCGGGGATTTTCGGGTCGATGCGAGTATTGAAGGAGAAGTGTTGAAGAACGTCATCGTGACCGAACGTAGGGCGCTCACCATTCGAGGTGGGTGGCATCGGGGAATGATGAGTATTTGTGGAACCGCTCTGCGAGTTAGACCCACCTTGCGAGTTGGAACCTCCCTGCGAGTTGGAACCTTTCTGCGAGTTGGAACCACCCTTCGAGTTGGACGCCATCGATGGATGAGGAGTAACCGGGTCTTGGGGACGGAACGCGGGATGTAGGTGGAGCTGAGGACCCGCAGCCCTTATGCGGGCCTGTTAAAAACATTGTCAGTGAAACCCATCCTAGAAGCGATGCTGATTGGCATAGACTTACCACTTCGTCCACATTGACCTTGTAATCACGTTGAGCGACTCTGGCAGCCTACAAGTAAAAGGTGTGTCAGTGATGTTAAAAAAGACATGGGAAGCGGAAGAGATAGACTTACAAGTTCTCCAGCTTCGGCACGGGGGTCCTCAGAGAGACCCGCCGCTTTACGAAGAGCGGCACGCCAGTCCTGCGGCTCTACACCGAACTCGCGTTGGGCATTGTCGACCTCGCGCCTTTGTTCTTCGGTGCGACCGGCTTGAAGTTGAGCGAAATGATGTTCGGCTCTGTCCAGCCTTGCCATAATCTCTTCGACTTCGGCGACAACCTGAATCCTCTGTAAAGTTAGCAGTCGGTATGGTGAGCACATTGTTGTACTGGGATGAACAATACTTACGAATCTCTGCATCTGTTCATCGTCGCGTTTCTCCTCCGTCTTGTTCCTGGCCTTCTTAGGTTCACGACTGGCCTCTTCAGGCTCACGTCTGGCCTCCTCAGGCTCATGCCGGACCTCCTCAGGTTCGCTTCTGGCCTCCTCAGGGTGGTGTATAGCCTCCACAGCTTCATTTTGCTTAGTCGGCTCGTCCTGGATGCCGTCCTTGACGACATCAGTTTCCTCGGTTATGCCAGCCACCTTGGTATCTTCCAGCTGAGGTTCGTTGTTGTCATTGGCGTAAGGCTTGATATTGTCTTTGGAACCTTTGGAGCCGGTGCGCCGTCTTGTGAAAGCCTTGCTGAAGCTCTGGATATCTCTCTTCACGGACAATCTGCGTGAGAGGCGGCCTTGTAGAGTCGGGTCTGCTTCAAGGGAAGACTTGGGCTTTTCGGTAGTCTTCAACGGTGCTTCTTGTTTAGGCGTCTGGACACTGCCAGCATAAACCTCTTCATCAAGGGATTTCGGACGCAAGGAGGGATTGCGTTTAAGTTTGTTAGGCTTGGATTCTACCTTGGCCGGCGACGAGTCGCCCATGCCATTCTTGGAAGTTAGAAGGTTCTTGGAGCGTAGTGAAAGACTGCGTCTTAAGGCTGACCGTACCTTGTCCTTCGGAGTTCCTTCGCCGGGTTTGGCGAGGGTCAGGACCTCCTCGGCACCCATCGAGTACCTGCGGCGAACCGGCTTCTCTGTCTTGAAGACATCGTCCTCGATGAACGGTTGTGAGAAAGAGACACTTGTCAGTGGGCTTGAGCTTGGAGTCAGGCCAGGGCGCCGGACAGGAGTGTTGAGGGTGGCTCCCTTGGGGATCTGCTGAGCCATGCCTTTGAGGGGAGGAAACAGAGTGAGCGAAGGGCCCGGCGGAGTGTGTTGTTGGGCGTTATTGGAAGTAGATGGAGAGACGGCCGCCTGCATGTAAGAGCTGCTGATCGAAATGCTCTCGTTGCGCGCGCGCAGGCTCTGGATGCGCGAAGGCGTCGAGTCTTCACCTGCCATGAGGTTGGCGCGAGGCCCCATGACGGTGACCGGCGAGCTCGCCTTCTGAACGTTGAGCGGCTTTGGCATCATGTCAGCTTCGACATCATCACTGTAGTGTGAGGAAGCAGCAATGCTTGGCGCCTCACCAGGCGCGACGCTCGGGCAGGACGTCACGTCTGGCTGCTTGACAGCCTCACTTGGCTCCTTTATGGCGGAAGCCTTGCCACTGACCTTGCTGGCCTTGGGTTTCAGCTCCCAAGGCTGTCGGTACGTCTCACCCCGGGGTGAGTGCCCCGGGGTGTCCTTCTCGGGCATCGTGTTGTTGTTGTTCATGTTGGTGTCAGAAGTTGGGGTGTTTCTGACTGGTGGGAGGGTGTAATGGATATAAGTACCTCACTTAGAGCACGGACTCGAGGGTCAGTCACCGTTTGAGTGCTTATTATGGGAAGGTGCTTAACCTAACAGTGTTAAGGTGAGTGACTGAATGTTAAAGTGAAGTCACTTTATGTTTGGCTCTCACGTCGTCTTCCAATTCGAGTACAGGCAGACTGTTTTGTCTTCGGCTTACATATTCTCATACTTCACTATAAGGCTCTTATCGCCTGTAGTATACTCAATCCTTCTTATGGGAGTATGGAATGCTTTATGGCAATGTAATTAGGCTGGTTAGTGGTAACCTCTATACAAAGGGTCTGGAAAGCATGATGCAGGTATTGAATATGAACTTAATAAGACACTTGCGACTCTATGCAGGACTGCATCTCGCATTATATAAGGACCATCAGCTCAGTAATAGAGACTTGTTACGTAGTTATGTGAAGACGTTTAAGAGATCGAATAGTAGAATCCTCTTTCCGCCTACAAAGTTCCCTACATCTGTAGTAGACTCATCATGCAGCTTGATATGAGTGCACCCTTCCCCATACGAAGAAGATGTTTCCAGACGTGCAAGAGTATCGCAAAGAAGTTGTGAAGTCTATCCCTACATATATATCCGCCTACAGAGTTATTTATTGTAGACTTTTGACATCACCTTGCCACCAGAAAGCAGACCTTACACACGCCGCGAGCAGTAAAAGCTTTGCAAACTACTCGGAATGGTGCAAGTTGATTTCTGTTTGCCGAATATCCGCACTTATTCGAGTGCTCTACTCGTACTGCCACACCCGTAAGCCGGACTTACCAACGCGGTCAGTGTGCCAGGTACGTTTCCCGGTCGTAGTGATCATTATGGTCTCTTAGGATGCCAAGTCCGACGTAAAATGCGGTGCATAATGCGTGACGACTATTACAAGGGCAGGCGGAGCTCGCTACAACCGCAAAGGAAGAACAAAGGAGCACATGGCAAGATTGAGTACAGCGGCATATCAGCAGGCACCAACGCGCCCACTCACTCTTCCACCTCATCAACGACGCCATCGACAACCCTTTGTCTACCACAGCCTTATCCACTCAAGTCTTTGTCCTCTACCCGCCTTACCTCAACCGCCACCACCACATGTCCGCCCAGCGGCCTTTCACCGGGGCGTCGCGGGCTTCGGACATGCGCGTGGGACCGGCGCTGCCTCGGTGTCAGTCTGCGTCCACAATGGCAATGTTATCTCGGCCTATGTCAGCGGGGTATTTCTGTCTGCGGTGAGGTAGTGGTGAAAGATAGAGTGTGTCTAAGCTCATTCAACACGCTTCCCCCGTTATGCTTTTTTCTTATCTCCAGCTCAAGGTGTTTAATGCGGCCTTTCATATTGACAAGGAAATTGGAGTGGCAGACTTGGCTGCGATGGGAAGTCCCAGGAGGTCTAGGTTTCCTAAAATTGGTCAAAAGAATCTATGAAGAAAGAAAAAGCAGCTATTTTTAAAATCCGTTTGCTGGGGTGGTGGAGGTGGGGACGCGTGGCGCCGCTGCATTTGATCCACTGGTGTGGTACAAAGAGAGTGTCGACAAAGAACAATAAGAGAGGCTCTCTGGCAAGAACAATTGCGTGACAGATCTAGACTGGCGACTTACGTTTCTTTGTCTTTAATGGATATATATTTACCAGTAACCCGTCGAACCTGCTAGCCGGCAGATCAAATTCCCATCATCAAAACATATTATCTCAAACCTGATTACTCAGTTTAACTTTCCACTCGTTTACCACCCAAACAAACCAACACAACCACTCAAAATGGCCTCCAAGAACGTCTACAGCTCCACTGAGCCCGTCAACCAGGGACGCACTTATAGGCTTCCTGCCACCTTCAGCAGCAAGGACTGCACTGTCATGTAAATTACGAAGTTGGTTGGACAAGGATGGGAGTGGTTTATACTCTTGAATAGAACCAATGAGATATTCCGCTCTCCTCGTATGAAGTAACAAATATGTAATTTGACGTCAAAAAGAGTGCTCCATAGTTCTTCATAGGTTCACTTGGCAGGTTCTGCTAAAATGGCGTGACAATGAAAAAGGCTGCTGCCTTTACTCACAAAACAAAAATATCATCGTCTATCAAGCGGTAGCAGTAGTAATAGCTCTCTGGGCGCCCTCGCGGCAAAAGAGACCAGGTAAGTAGGGCCATCACGCACCAGCAAAACGCCGCATGTATCCTACCGGCAAAGGGCAGCGTCTATCATTTTCGGCCGTTACCCGCCCACGCATCCGTCCGTCAACGTCCGTCCGTATGTCCGTTACGCGGCTCGCATTTGCTCAGCCCACCAGATAATCATAGCTCTTTAAATCCGTATCTTGCGGCCCCGCGCCATTATGCCTCCGGCTTGGCGTACGTCTGAGTCCACTCGCGTGCCGTGGCGATGGCCGCGTTCTGGTCCTCCTTCCAGCGCTGCGCGACGTCGTTGGCAAGCGGGTCGTCGGGGTTGGGGGCGCCGAGAAGAGCCTGAATGGAGAGAAGGATGGTGCGGATTTGCAGGGCAGGCGACCAGTTGCCTGGGTTGCGGCGGATTTGTCAGCGCGGTGTATTGGCGGGGTGGTGGCAGCGGAGTAAGGCTAGACACTCACTCTTCAGGACGTCCAGACAGATACGGCCCAGCTTGTCGATGTTGGGGTGGTAGATTTTGGTCAGGAAGCGCACCTTGGGCGGCGTCATGGGGTAGTCGTCCGGCAGGAAGAGCTCGAGCTTAAAAACACCGCCTAGGGCAGGTTAGCCGGGCGGATCGAGTGGCTGCAGAAGGGTCGGGGGATGTGCACCTTCGTAGGGCGACTGCGAGGGACCGTGGACGGTGACGTCGAAGTATCTCAGGTTGTCCTCATGCGGGACAGCGCTGATGCCGGGGACCCTGCAGCGGCGTCAACTCAGGGAAAGCCTTTCGGACTGGGATACGCAGAGACGCACGGCTCGGCCATGAGACGCTCGGTCTCTTTGACGATACGCTTGGGGAGCGCCATGGTAACTGGAGATCTGGAAGCTAGGTGGGGGGTTGCGGGGTGGGTGTTGCGGCGACGTCGGGCTGGAAACGCGTCAAAACCTATGGTGGTCGGCCAGGCCGCTCGATCTCGTCATCCCGTCAACAACACCCCTCCACGTATTAACATACATGCGCTGAGCTGTTAAACACAGAACGCCGCGCCAGGCGGTGGCTTCCCGCCATGCACGACAGCTCTCCCTTCGACAGTCCGACCTTTGGCCGCGATGCCTCTATCCGCGTCGACGAGCCCGTCGGCTCCGCCTCCATTTCCCCCAGCAGCCGCGACGTCGTCCTGGCCTCGCGCGAAGGCCTGCATATCATTGATCTTGACAACCCCTACTCGCCGCCTCGCCACCTCGCCCACCGTACCCTGTGGGAGGTTGCCGACGTCCAGTGGTCGCCGTTTGCCTGTCGCGACGGCCTGGTTGCCAGCACGTCGAATCAGAAGGCCCTGATCTGGGACCTGCACCATGCTACACAACCGCCCCTCACCCTCCACGCCCACTCGCGTGCCATCACCGACGTCAACCTCTCCGCCCACCACCCTGACATTCTCGCCACCTGCTCTGTCGACACATTCGTGCACAAGTGGGATTTGCGCGCCTCGGATCGCCCTGTCTTCTCGTACGCTCAATGGGACGGTGGTGCCGCGCAGGTCAAATGGAACCGCCAGGACCCGCACATTCTGGCCTCGGCGCACGACAAACTGCTGTGCATTTGGGATGAACGAAAAGGCGTGAAACCTCTGCGCACCATTGAGGCGCACAAGAGCAAGATCTATGGTGTAGACTGGAACCGCACCCGTGCGGGCGGAATTTTGACCTGCTCGCTCGACGGGTCGATTAAGTTCTGGGACTACACCAAAGATGAGGATGATATGCTAGACCGTGTCATCCGAACGCCGTTTGGCGTCTGGCGAGCCAGGCATACGCCGTTCGGATGGGGTGCGCTTGCGATGCCTCAGCGTGGAGATTTTGATTTGCATTTGTACGACCGGCGCCTAAGCGACGGCGTGAAGAGAGATGCCAAGGTTGATCCTGTCCACTCGTTCAAGGCCCACAATGACCAGGTCAAAGAGTTTCTTTGGAGAACACGTGGAAATATCAGTGACGGCATTGATAACCGCGAATTCCAACTCGTGTCGTGGGGCGCTGATCGAATGTTGAATTTGTATCGCGTGGACTCAACTATGCTTCGCTCGGTGGGTTACGAGAAAGGGAAGGAGGTTCGCAAACGACTCATGTCCACGCGTCAAGGCACGCAGTATAAGACGTTCCACGATGACAACCCTGCCCATACTTCAGCGCAAGCATCGACGATTGGGGATCAGTATAATACATTTGCTCCGCCGAGCCAACTGAGCGCTCTCTTTCAGTCAGCGGGCATGAGGAAACCCGCTCCTCAATATGCTCAAGGCGGCTTCCAAGGCCCCAGCGGAAGCTCGAAGAGAGGCCGCCTACTAACCACAATGCAGGCGCGCACCCGCGAAAAGAAGAATGTAGATAAGCTTACCTGGATGCAGGGCGTTAGAATTGGTGGGACCAAGGGTCCTTTCGATAGAACTGGTTCCAGGCCTGATGTTTTCTCGCCAGATCAACAGCTTCTGTGGGATTCACCGGATCAACTGGGCGAAGAAATCAAGTACGTCGGTAATAAATTTAAAAAGGTCAAGTTTGAGGAAATCGAGATACCGCAACGCACTGCAACCGTTACGCTCCATGGACCTTGGGCCGAGAATAATGAGCCTGTTTTTATGAGAATTAGCATCCGCTTCCCTCCGGATTATCCTATTGCTTCGACACCTCATTGTAAAATTGAAAAGACCACCTCCTCCATCTCCACCGCAACCGTTTCGAAACTTGACAGCGAGATAAAATCTCTGGCGGAGTTTTACAAGACGCGCAAACGAGGCTCATTGGATGCAATCATCAGCTATCTCCTAGGTGAACGCGGGCTTGATGAAAGCATCAGCCTACTTTCTGATGGTGGCGCCGATAGCGTTGCTCGCGAAGAAGAAAGCTCTAGCGATGAGGAGGATGAAGTTGGCCCTAGTTTTGGAGGCACACCCGCCATGGAGATGAGCGGCACGGATATCATGGGCCCCGTCACTGCTAACGCCAACGTGCCACTTCCAAAAAGATGCGGTGCTCTTTGGACAAGAGACGGGCGCCTCATTACCTTTTTCCCGCCAAAGCCAGAGCCGAAGCCTATGTTTTCTCACCTTGCCGCTCTCAGCAACGACAACCGTACGTACAAGAGCAAGAGAATTTTCGAAGTTCTGAGCCGTTTGAACACCGAATCTCCGGAGCCAGTGCGTAAGAATTCGTCGACTATGGGCCATCAAGACGATGCTGATTCCCAGGGATCCTGGGAGACTTCATCGAGTTCTTCGTCAGACTCGCCGGTGATGGGCGGATTATCAGCCATCGCACCGCCCGTAGCATGGCGTGGCGGACCGCTGAGATTCCAGCGCTCATCACAACATTCGGGTAGTGTCAGCTATGATTCCAAGCCGGCTGCTCCCAAACCGAAATCAATCATCAGTGTCTACGACTTTTCATACTTGCTTCCAGCCAAAAGAGAGCTTGCTGAGGAGTACGAAGTTTTTGGAGAGGGACCAGAGGTCAGCGCACACAATGCCAGAGTTGCTTCGGACCACGGCTACAAGGATCTTGCGGATGTTTGGAACCTCGTTGGTCTTATCCTGGCCGACCAGGTGCCTCTGGAGATCATGCAGCAGGGTTACAGGCGAGAGCCTATCCTGACCGTTGCTCGCCGTTCCGTTGTGCGTATCAAGAAAAAAGACAGCGGGTTGGATCTGGGCTTTGACGAGCCAGAGGCTGTCGCGAGGCCAAAGCTCAAGGGCCGGGTGAAATGGGGGGAGCACCCTTTTGCAAAACAGCTGATTCCTCGGTTGTTTGAGCATTTCGAAAAACTTGCAGACACTCAGATGCTTGCTATGCTTGCTTGCATGTTTCATGAACCAGCTGCTAATGAGGGTGTTACAAATGCCATGACAATGCGTCTCCCGCACCCCGACTTGCATCTCTCAATGAGGACACCTGCGTTTTCTCTTGATTACTATCCGTCTCGCGAGGTTGCAGCAAGCCTGTTCCAACCGTCTATAGCTATCCCATCACGATCTGAGTCTATCTACTCTCGTTATCCAGGAGGCTCGGACAGTAATCTCCCCAAAATCGACAAGCGCCTCAATACCTTCGGCTCCGCAGGGTCATCCAACGGGCCGTGGAGCGGCGACGTGATGCCTAGCGGTCCAACAACACCATACTCAACTGGCACCACTCCTCCACCAACATTTTCTCGCACCAACACGTACCGATCGTTTTCTAGCGCGCAGCCCAGCTTGGCGTCTTCGCCAGAACGCAGCAAGCGCAGTACCACGAACCTTTCCACCGCCTGGACCTCGTTCTCACGTCCTTTCACCACTGGCGTCTCCTCTTCGCCACCTGTGCCCAACCCACAGCGGAACTACGATGGCGATTTGAGCACCTCGGCACCGACCAATAGCGTGACGTGGGGTCCGAACGTTGTGTACCACAACGAGCCGACGACACTGCAACGCAGCAGCTCGCACAAGCGCAGCAAAACACAGGTCAACACGTCTTTCAACTCGAGCGTGAGCGCTGGCGCCGCAGACAATGACGATGACGATGAAAGATGGCCAGACGACGAATCGGCCTTCCCCTCCGTCGACGACGACCGCACCGTCAGCTTCACCAGCAGCTCGGACCGCACCGCGGGCGCGAGCATCCGCGTCACGCTGAAGAACCAGGACCAGTTCGACGATGACGGCCACTTGAGCGTGCCGCTGCTCGAGCAGGACAAGGGCTGGTTGTACGACGCTTATCGCGCATCGTATGCCGGGAACGAGCTGTACATGTGGGGTTTGCAGGTCCGGCGGAGCGAAGTGCTGAAGTTCAACGGCCTGACGAGCTACTGGGTCAAGAACCAGATGAGCGAGAACGCAGAGGACGAGCTCTCAGTTGGCCGAAGCAAGGAGGCTGCGAATGGGCAAAAGGTTCGTAGTTGCACTACTCTTTCCCCGTCTCTCCTATCTCCAAACCCAACTAACACGCCTCGTAGGTCCTCATGCCCGACGACGACGTCCTCTCTCTCGTTCCCCTCACCACTAAACCCGTCTCTACTCCCTCCACCGGAGCGCACATCCACTCGAACCACTCCACCAAACCACCCTCCCTCTACCGCTCGACCACGCCCTCGACGACACGGCCCTCGTCCACCCGCTCCGCGACGCCGGCGCTCGAGCGCCCCGAATGGGACTGGAGCGCGCCACTGGCGAACGCGGCGCTGGACCGGGTAGTGGGCGCAGCAGGCGGGGCGCGGTTCAGCATCGATGTGGGAAGCGCGCGGCTGGGCGGGGGAAGACTGGGGGCGTTGGGCGCGTTTGGGGCGCTCGGAGGTGGGTTTGGAAATGGTGGTGCGAAGGAGGTGGATGATGTTGATGGTGAAGAGGAGGGGCTGTGTGAGAGTGCGTTTTTGGCGCAGCGCAGACGGGTCTGCATGGTTTGCTGGTTGCAGCTTGATGGGCTTTATCGCACTTGTGCGGATTGTGGGCATGCGGTCCATGCGGAGTGTGGGGTGGGGTGTTATTGTGGGGAGGAGGAGTGGGGGGCTTGGTGGTAGTGGGAAGGGGGAAGAGAAGGGGAGAAGAAAAAGGAGCGTAGGTGCTGCTGTTATACCTAGGTGTAAAAATAGATACCCAATTTGCTTTGCTTTTTCGCTTGTTTTGTTCTATGGTACTGTACATAAATACCTCTCGGCTTCTTTTCTACTGTTTCCTCATCTTCTAAACAACGGCATTGAAGATGGTCAATATACTCCCTACTTTAGCATCGAGTACAATCGCCGTCCGCCCCCGGTGTATCTCTACTACGACATTCACTTTGCTGTTCAGGTTGAAAGCCAAAGGCTCAGCTAGAAAATGGTGAAGTTTTAGTTCGTGATGATCACTACTATCATGGCATATTGCTGATGGCGTTTTTTGTTTGTTGGAGAAGTTGACGGTCATCATTTCTTGCATTTGGTGGCTAAAGATAAGTTTCATTTCTTCTAAGCCTATATCCAAACCGTCCGCCCAAGCTGTGTCGCTAGTATGATGCGTGCGGCCAGTCGATAGTTCTCCCAGGCAATACCCTGGTGAACATCGCCAAACAGGATTGTTCGTTGACATGCATGTGGTAGCTTGAAGTGATGGGAAGTAAGCGAAGGCCTTTTTATGGTGGAGGGGGTTGCTTTCTCGGGTTGTCTTTACTGTATGTATGCATGAGCCAATGGGTACTGTGAAGGAGCTGTAGTAATGTCTACGTGTTATAGCTGGTTTTGTATTGGGGGCGTATGTCGGTGAGTATATTGTATATACGAGAGTTAATCAAGAAACTAAGAAAACGAGAGGCAGTCATCTCCACACAGATCATGTTGCAATCTTTCAGTCGGTGCGTCTCGTTTTTACAAGGTAAAATCGTCGACGCCGCCACTTATGCACGCCAGCGAAATGCAGGAGAGAAAATGGAAGATTGCCAGTTACTTTATGTGCCCGTGTCGGCAACGCAACCCTACGAACCGTTGATCTTGGAAAAACACATGGAGCCATTTGATCAGGCTCGTAGTCAGAAAATGATAAAAATTCAGTTCTTGGTGATTGTCATCATGATGAGTTGCTGATTCCGTTTATTGATTGTTAGGGAAGTTGTTAGTTGATGTTTCCCTGGGCTTAGTGCTGTTGACACTGGCTCGTGTATTGACGCGCTTGCATGACAGGATGATCAAGAATCGCCGTGTCAACCCACCACCATCAATTCTCAATTATGGGACGGCCGTGTTTCTCAATGCCCTTAGTAGCGAAGGGCATATCCTGTAAGCTAGAGAACGCTAGCATTTGTTCCCCGAGAGTGTTTAAAACTTCCTTCACGCTCCTTTCGTTTATGTCGTATAAGTTAATTGTCTCTTTTTCGGAAAATTTCAACCGCAAAGTAACCTATAAACACTGCTTGGATATAGAAGACCTGATCACTGTGCTGATTAAATGATAGTGTTTTATAGTCTTTTACAGATCTCTCAATGATTTGGTTGATAGCTATTTGCTTGTTTGCCTTTGTATGCGGCATGACATTTAACTGTATAAGAATACCGCTTACTCCTTTCACTATCGGGAGCACGGATACTTCTAGCCACTTCTAAAGCCATCTACTGAAAAAGCTTTCGTTTACTTCCCAACAGTATAAATTAAAACAAGATAAGACATCTCTACTCAGAACGCACAACTATGCTACATTCACTACGTGGCCATCACCGATCTCATTGGCCTCGGCTTCCTCTGCTGCATGATCAAGCCGAACCGCGCGAGCATGTTAACCGCCATCACCACACACCGCAGATCTCATTCCTCATTTAACCGAACAGTCGTTCAACACCACCAAGGGATTCCATCTAACCAATACGCGCCGGCCCGTCGCCGTCGTCTACTCGCTCAGCCTCCTTGCCCATAGTAACTGGACGACTGCGGATTCCCAGACATCAATCTGATTGTCTCTCAGAAGTCCCGCTTTTATACTTGTCCTTGAAAGTGCGCCTGATGTGATAAGGTGCGCACTACACGAACTTACGAAGGGATTACGCTTTTTATACAGGACTTGGCCATGAGATCAAACTCTATGGAAACAGCGAGGCTTTAGACCCCAGTCGGTCATTTCACTGCTTGAGTGTCGTCGTCGGGTCAGAACAAATTAAATACTCTTCTTAGAAGCTCTCTCTAAGTAATAAAGGCTGGACCACAGAAAGGGCGTTCATAGCAACCACTTGAACCACGACATAACTGCCATTACCATCCTAACCATACCCAACACCCTCACTCCCTCCCTCCTTCAGCACCAGCACCAGCACCACCTCACCCTAACAACCCCACACCAAAACCCCCGCTCTTCATTTCCCAATCCACAACCCACCTCCTCCACCCCCAAACCCCCCAAACCGCACCTCCCTACACTTCCGTGCGCCACACCAAGCACAAACACAAACACACACAGCGCAACCAGCAAACAAGAGCGTAAACAAGTAAACCATGTATAAGTTACCCTAACCTCCTATCAAGCCACCGTAAACGGGCAGAGTAGAGAGAGAGAGAGAGGGAATGGAGGAGGGGCCGACCACGCCAACCAAGGCACCGCCACCACCAACACACACTCACACCACACGAACCATACCACACCACAGCTAACACTCGCCCTCGCCTTTAATCATTCAACCACACTCACAGTCAACCTCGCCCTCGCCCAGCCAAACCCAGCTAGCATACCATACCATACCATACCGTGATCCAAAAGCAAAGACCCCGGAAAAGAACCAAGCAAAAGCAAAATAAACAAAGGACAGAGAAAAAGAAAAGAAAAAGAAAGGGAAAAAGTAAAGGGAGAAAAAAGCAAGAGCACCTTCCCCCCTCCCCCTTAAGGAAAAGGAAAAAGAAAAAGAAAAAGAAAAAAGTAAAGTAAAAAAAAAGGGCTAACAGCCCAGGCAGCAGTAGAGGTGGTATCCAAACCAAATCTAACCCAACCCAACCCAACCCGACGCAGCCCAGCAGCCCAGCTCGGCCCCTCCCTGCCCCTGCAGCAAGCCAGCAATCAAGCAAGCAAGCACTCCCTTCTTCGCACAACACTACCGCGTACGTACACGGTACGTCGTTGGGCCGCACCCCTCCTTTCGCCCCTCTCTCTCTCCTTTCCCCTCCATCCTATCCATTATTAAGCCAACTAACACACCCCATTAACAAAAAAGCACGAAGCAGTTCCAACCAAGCCCCTCCAGAGTCCCATCTCCGTAAACCAAAAAACACCGTCATGGTCGTCGTTGTCGTCGTACCAGCCAGCCAGCCAGCCTTAGCCGCTGCTGCGCACAACGCTACTCTCGTTAGGCGCTGCGTACAAGGCAGCATGGCATGGCATGGTACAATCGTAGTCATGCCCCTCCGAGCCGGAAACCCCTCGAAAAGGCAAATTCCCCAAAAGGAAAAAAAGGAAAAAGTAAGAAAAGAAAACCGCAAATGGTTCGACTCGGGGCCGTCGACGGAGCCCGACGATTTTCGTCAGACCGGAAGTCTGTCTCTTTTTTTTTTTGTCTTGTTCCGTAGCCGTCGTTCCATCGTCGTCGTTTCCGTTTAGCTAACCAAGCATGTCGACCATGGCTCGCTTGCGATCCTCGTTCTCGACCAGCATGCCGCGTGTGCTGAAGCAATCGTCCAGCACGTCCACCACTTTGCGGAACGATGACGCCGCGCCGCGTGTTTGCGTGAAGCGTACGAGGCAGAGCTGTGCGCGCCGGCCATGCTCTAGCACGACGTAAAGCTCCGCGATAAAGGCCACGGGCTTGATCTTGAGGTCTGCCATATCTCGTCGTTAGTCGGTGTAGTTCTATTAATCCGGCCGGCATTACGGCTGCACGTTTGAGTTGGGCTGAGTAAAACTTACGGTTCTCCTTGTCAACCCTCGCTGTAATGACATTGTTCACGCGGTCGTAGCTCACGTCGCGCACGCCGAAACGCTTCCAGTCGCGCAGCAGGCGCACGATCTCGGAGCGTGCGCGGCCACGGCCGACTTGGAAGCACAAGGCCTTGGTGGCGGGCTTGATGTGCAGGAAGCGTGCGAGCCAGTTCTGGCCTTCAATCGCGCGACTCGAGTCCGGTGAGCCTTCGGGGAGGTCGAAGTTGCTCGAGAGGAAAGAAGAATTGGACAGCTCCGTGGGCGCTGCGATATTGTTAGTATTAAGTCACCCGGCGGACAGGGTTCGGGTTGATGAAAAATGTGAGACCTACATGCCAACTCCAGCATGCCCTTCTTGGCATCCTTCTTGCCCAGCCACTTCCATAAACCACCCTTCTTCGAGCCCTTGTCTGCACGCACAAGGGTGTCAGACTCGGTTACGTCACTAATAGTCGACGGAGACTTACCAGGACCACATCTGCCGCTGGAACCATCCGTATCAACCCTGGTAAGGGCCGGGCGCGCCTTGGGCTTTGGGTCCATGCGGTCGTCAAGCCCTTTCCACGCCTCTGGGATCTGCTGCTTAACATCTGGCGTGTCTGACAAGGTCGGCGTTTCACTGTCGCTGAACTTGCGACGGAACCAGCTCTTCTTCTTGGCATCCTTCGCATCTTTGCTGGCATCCTTGTTCGGCGTAGATGCACCGCTTACCTCGTGGGAGCTTAGGCGGTCTGAGAGGCGGCTGGATTTGCGACGGAGTGGCTGTACCTCGCTTTTAGGGACTTGCAGCTGCGACTGGGCGCCCACAACGGTACGTGCAGGGGAAGCGACAGTGCTAGCGGTGCTGGCCTTGCGAATTTTGAGAGGCGCAATGTGACCAGGCGGGCAAGGCGAAGATGGATCAACCATCCGGATTGTGTCATTCTTGTCGCCAGAGTATCTATGACCAGGTGTCGAGTTGATGGGTGCAGTGACAGCCCTGTACCCACTACGCCAGTTAGGGGTATCCGCGGGCGTCTTACCTTCCTCCGATATGATTGGCAGATGCTCAGGCGACTTGGGATGAGGAGCGGAAGTTGAACGGGTGCCATCGGCCTGGGTAGCACTGTTGGCACTGTTCAGCAGACTGTCTAGATGCGCGAGTACCGCATCATACTTGTCCGCATTCTCCCGGTCCTCCAAAGCCAAGCGCGCAGCAAGCCGATCCCGGGTCACTGCCAGCTCACGAGTAATATGCGAGTTTGGCGAATCATCAGTGGTCGGTAGAGGAGGTAAAGGCCGCTGAGTGATGTTCGTATCAAACGCCTTGGCTTCCGCAGCGTAGGCGGAAGCACCAGAGCCACGATGCGAAACGGAAGAGGGTGGTGTCTCATAGTTGGTGGGGGGAGCGGTCGTGGAAGTGCGAAGGCTGGAATTGACTGAAGAACGGTTATTGAAAGCCTCGTCCAGAACCTTTTCGAGCTCCGTGCTAGCCTTACGAACATCTCCCTCGATAAGCCGACTGGGAGTCTCAGACTTGCGGACCTTGAGACGAGGTATCGGTGCTCCCTTCGATTCCTTGCGTGACCTCAGCGGCTGCTCCACAATTGGCGTGGATGATTGCAAGGGAGCCGCGGCCGAAGGAGCCACAGACGAAGGAGTCGCGGAAAATAGCACATCCGAATTCTGCAAAAATTTGTTCTGCTCGGGTGTGTACTGCACGGAATCCGTCAAGCGGCTGAGTGTCGAGCTTCTCCTTAGGTGCGCAAAGGAAACACCACGCTTATGCGAACTAGCAGGCCTTACAATAACTGGTGGAGAGCTCGGCCAGACCGAGCTAGTGGATGAGGCCTTCGACAAGTTGCGACGGTGTGTGCCTGCCGGAGAACCTTTCCGCGAAGACCTAGAGCCGTTGCTCGACAAACCAGAACTGCGCCAGTTTGTCTTCTTTAGAGCCTCAACTCTCAGCATGCTAGCTTGACCGTGATGATTGCTCGTTACAGTAGATCTACGACGACCTCCACTGCCAATCGAGCCGCCACGATGGACAGTGACGTTCATGTAAGGGTTCTCCTTGTTCGCCAACGAAGGCTCTCTTGAAGCGCGGAAGGGATCATAGCTCTGTTCAGACGGGGTGGGTTCCTGAAGGCTGTGGCGGGAGCGTAGGTGCTCATCGTTGAGGATCGAGAATTGTGACTTGGTGCGACCGTGGGCACCAGTCGGTACAGGCGGCACAACCTCTCTACGACGGTGATGTACATGGTGGTAGTCGCTAGCAGAGTAGCCAACATCGAGGGTTCCGCCCCAGGTTTCGAGGTGCTCGTCTCGATGCTTTGCCAAAGCGCTGTAAAAGTACTTTTCTTGGTTGGGCCTGTTGACATCAGTGACTACCTTCAGGACAATATAAGTGTGACTTACTCGGGGCTCAGTAGCTTCTGAAGCAGCACCTCTTCAGGCTCGCTGTGCCACAGGGTACGCATGTTTCGCACAATCTCCCTGTCGATGTCGTCAAGGCACGAGACATCCCAGTTCTCTATCCGCGGCCTGGCACCAATCCAAGTCTCAATCTTGGCTTTTTCGCCTTTCATTTCCAGCTCTTCATCATACTTGTGCAAAAAGGGATGGTTCCAGACCTTCTCGATCGTGATACGCTTGCGTGGGTCCGGAACGAGAATTTGGGAGATTAAATCTTTGGCTTCAGGACTGAGATGATCGGGCATGACATATTGAGCCTTGGCGATGAGCTTGAAGAGTTGTGCTAGGTCGGCGTCGTGGCCGCTGTACGTGAACGGGGGACCGCCAGTGAGCATAACGTAGAGGATGACACCACACGACCAGACGTCCGCTTGGCCTCCATCGTAGCGCTTGTACCGAATGACTTCTGGGGCGGCATAGTGGGGGCTACCGCAAGGTGTGCTGAGGAAGCGTCCCTCAGGCTGAAGGGCAGCCATGCCAAAATCGACGAGCTTGATCTCCCATGATTCCTTGTCGACGAGAATATTCTCGGGCTTAAGGTCACGGTGATGGATGTGGATGCGGTGGCAGTAAAGCAGAGCAGCGATAATCTGACGGAAGATGAAGACAACCTCGAGCTCATCGAGCCCGCCATCGACGTCGATGTAGTCGAAGAGCTCGCCACCGTCAATATATTCCATAATCAGGTAGCTATATGTACGGTCAGTAATGAAATATGGGCGATGCGGCGGGAACAGGATACTTACAGCTCACTCCTGTTTTCCCATACATCGTACAACTTGACAATGTTTTGGTGTTCGAGCAACTTCATGATGACAATCTCACGCTCCAATCCAAACGGCATAATCTTCATCTGGGCCAGCAGTTCGGGGTCCGTCTCAGCACTCTTGTACAAGTTGAGAAGACTCTGTGCCTTGACCTTGTCGGCCATCTTCTTCGAAATAATCTTCGCGGCGCCCAGCTGGCCTGTCAAAGAGTGCCTGACCATTCGTACGCGCGAGCAACCGCCCTCGCCGATGGTCCTGCCAAGCTGCCAGGGTCCGATGTGCGTCTTCCGTCGACCGCCCGCCGACATGGTGGACGAGGCGGTCGAGATGGCCGAGTTTCGGTTGCTGGAGCGATTGTCTTCATCTTGAATGACCGACAGACGCTTGTTGTCGGCGGGGCCGGGATTGCGGACAGTGAGAGTCGGGCCGTTGGTTACGATGGACTCATTGTGCGGCAGGTTGGTGGTGGGTTGCATGGCCTTCTGCTTGAGGCGTTGCTGGGGAGCGGCCGCGGCGTTTGCTCTCGAGCCCGCATCTGCGAGAGCTTTCCGTTGCTTTGAGGGTTGTCTAGCTTGTTTGCTAGAGCGATCCATGGAAGACAAGGCGCACGCAGTGCGGGGAAGGTTCTATTAGAGGAGTTGTTGCTGCGGTCGCAGACGATGAATGTACAGGAGGGTTCGTCTCGACCGGGCGGCGTGGGCGGCGGGAGGTGCAAGCGACGCCGGGGAGCGAGGCGGGCGCAAAAGTCAAGGCGGCGGGCGCGTAGGAGAGCGAGGGGGTTGACGGGTTGGGATTGAGGATTGCAGCGGCGGAGGAAGGAGCGAGCGTGCGCGTCAACACAGAAGGAGCAGCGGCAGCGGAATTGACGATGGGGGGAGGGAGAAATGAACGTTTTTGTTTGTTGTTGTTTGTTTGGGGTGGAGATGAACCAAAGGACTTGGAATGGACGACGACGACGCAGCAATGCCACGCTGCCTGAAAGTGTGCTCGCTATTAAAGTTCCCTCGTTCTCTTTCACACACACGCATTGCCCATGGATTCCTCAACACGACACGACACCAAGCACGCGCACGTGTCATTCCAACCTCTACTACTAACTAATTATCCATCTCTTTGACTGACGTGACCTGGGGCGACCGACATTGTCACAGTCGTCATGTTAGATGGGTGGTGATGCTGACGATGGATACCTAGGTGATGACGACGACAACGATAGTGATAGAGATGGTGATGGAGTTGTTGTTGTGTGGGTGTGGTGGAGGACGGTGGTGGTGTTGGTGGTGCATGGACTGCCGATCGCTCGCTCGCTCCCGCACGCGGGCTCGCCACCCTCCCCCTCGCGCTCTTCCCCGCCCAGACCGCCCCAGCCCGATCGCTCGGATCGTCGCACGGCGCTCTGCAGTGCGCGCGCCCTCCCTGCAGCGTATCCGCGGATCCCAACGCACCTCACCTCTTCAGAGCCCTGCACCGCTGACCTCACCTCCCCCTCTCACAGTCAACCACACAGCTGCCTTCCATCGCTCGGCCGCCCGCGCCAATAATGCATCCATCCTCTCGGCCAGATCACCTCGCACCAGCCCAGGCCCAGACTAGATCCTGTCCGATCCCTCTTCCGATCCGATCTCTCAGACACGGCAAAAACCTCAAACACCTTCCATCATCACCAATCACCCGCGTGCCCCATCCTGATCCATCCTTCCCTTCCTTCGTCTCCACACCCCTGCTCATGCCACAAGAACGCCCCCCAAACGCCCGCCATCGCCAACGCCACGCCACTGAAACACGCGCGCAGAAAGCGGAAGGCGGCAAAAGGGGGCGCCGGGAGGGGGTAGGGATCAGGGTCAGGTACTCAGACGCGCATGTGTGAGTGAGTGTGTCGTCGTGGCCGGCGGCCGGAGCGGTGCACAACCACGGCGTTATTATTGTACAGCCGCCTCGGATTCCCAATTTCTCTTTGTCCAGCTGCGCGCCGTCTCGCCCGCGTGCTGCAGTGGCGCGGCTTGTCGGCGCGGGCGCCCGCCGAGGGCGCCGGGAGGCCCTCTCCTCCCTCCCCGTGGCCATGGCTGCTGCGAACACGGCCAGCTGAGGAAGGAGCGCCGCTAGTTGCTGTTGGCCCACTAGGGTTCGTGCGTTTCGCGCGTGTGTCCCCCGGCGTGTGTGCGCTGCGTGCGTGCGGGCTTTTGCCAGCTGCCACTTGTGAGCTGGGGTGGGCTACGTAGGTACAGAGGGAGGTGCGTGCAGCAGGATGCCTTCAAGCCGGAGCCGAGGCCTCTTGCGTGCTCGGGGGCGCGCTGAGGCGTGGGCTCGTAGAGTTTTGGGCTCTTGGGGGCGCGGGCTTGGAGAGGCGTACTGCTTGTCCTCATCGTCGTCGCCGCCGCCATGGCCGCGGCCTCGGGCTCTTTGGCGTTCGTGCGAGAAGGCTGCAGCGTGCGGGCTAATGGAAAGCTGTCCATGTGGTAGTGGTATTAACTAAGGGACCTCAGAGAGGGCTTTGCTTGCGTGCGCGGGCGGCGGAAGGCGAGCGTGCTGGCTGCTGGCTGCTGGCAGCGGCGGTGCTGGCGGTGCTGGGGCTGCGCGCTTGGGAGCGGTTGGCTTGGTGGGCGCTGGAGGTGCTGGAGGCGTTTGCGGTCGGGGTGTGCAGTACCTGACAGTTTGCATGCAAGTGAGAGTGGTAACTACCTATGGCGACAGTGATTGCGACTGAGTGCGAGGCGCTTCTACTGTCTTTGTATGTCGTTCTCTCCCTATGTTCATGACTGTATCCACATCTACATCCGCGCCCACATCCCTTCAAACCAACTTCGCAGCAGCAATAGCAGCAGCAGCAGCAGCGCGCTTATCCTCTCCACGCCCACCTTGTCCAGAATCGCGTTCACTGATCACTTCCGCCTATCTAACAACAATCTCAACTCCTAGCCACTCTGTCATCGCACCGCTCGTACCCATCATCTTCTCCACGTCCACACTCACCTGCTCCCACTGCAATCATTACCACACCACAACCTCTCCTGTACGAAAAACGTGGTTTGGACAGGATTCCAATAATATACATGCCATATACCTATAAATACGCCATTAAAAAAGCTGGGAACGAGCGCAAGTGGACTACTCCTGACGGAGTAGACCTGGACACTTCGGCAAGATGGGGCAAGCAAAGGGACACCAGATCACTCGTCTCTGTGTGGATTGAGAGCGCAGTGAGCATGGAGATAGGCAGATACATGTGCAATAGAAAGGCATAGACAAATAGACCAACAAGCAACCGCAATAGCCAACTATGCAGCTAGGTACCTATCCACGAACGCAGCCAGCACTCCCGCCGCAGTAATAGGTAGCACCATCACCACCAGCACACCACACCACCCTCTTCACATCATCTCTGGGTAGTCTCCACCCACAGCACCCAAAGCATGCACACCCAAGAGCCCGCACATAACCGCACACTATCTCCGCGTGCGCATACCCACCCAAGTCCACCAGCCAGGCGCCCTCCACCCTCCGCCCCACCACCAGCCCAGCACAAGGCCCAGCGGCCAGCGCAAACAACCAAGGACTTATCGAGGCGAGTCTCGAAGGGCAAGAGGGGCAAATTACCTACCAACCCGAACCCCGGCCAGCACAGCACATACGCGCGCAACAAGTCAGCACGCAGCAAGCAAGCAAGTAAGCAAGCAAGCAGGACCAGACTTCCGAATCCCACACCCGCACTCACGCACCAAGCGCACACACTAACCGGCCCCCCCAATCCCTCAATCCCTCAATCCATCATCCCCAGCCCCTACTACTCCCACCAACAACCACTAGGTACTTCGACCCTACCCAAAGCCCGTCCATCCATTGAACACGGCACCTACCGTCTGATCAGCGCAGGGGCCGCAACCCACACGCACGCACGCAGCACGCACGCCCACCCGCCATCACCGCGCCAGGCCGCGCCCAAGCCCGAGCAAGTAAGGTAAGCAAGCGCACGCAACGACCAACAACCACCCAGCACGCCTAACGTCCACCACACCTACCTAGGCAGACCACCATCCACCTAGATCGACGGCACGTTCCGGCGCGCGCGTGCAAATAACACCTCCCAACCCAACCAATCACCCAACTCGGCCTTCCCTTCCAGCCCAGCCTAACTCCCTGCGTAAGCAGTGGTGTGATCGCGCCCATATAAAATTACTCGAAAAGGGGACGCCCGACCGCACGACCGCACGACCGCACGACCGCACGCACGCACGCACGCCTGCGCTCATTCACCAAGCCAAGTAGTGCTCGTTTTGCAAACTAGCTAGCTTCTTGCGTGCGCGCCGGCCATGCTGCCGCGCGGCCTGTGTATTTCCTTGTATGTAGTAGTAGGTAGGTAGCAAGTAGTAGTATAATGATGATGAAGATATCGTGACAAATATACGTAATAAAAAGAAAAGACGTGGCGTGTGTGCTATGTGCCAAGAGCTAGAAAGAAGTGAGGAGGCTTGCAGGATAAGGGGGAGGTAGATGTGGTATGTGATGATGAAAGAACCAAGAATATGAATAATCATAAGATGGAGAATGCCGCAAATTGAAAGAAGAAAGAGGAGAAAAAGAAGAAGCAGCGAGAAGAAGCGTGTATACTACTTTCGACGGGCCTCAAAGACAAGCCTGCCTGCAGCCCCGTGAAGCAAACAAAAAGGACAAGGAATCGGTTATGAAGATAGAAAGCTAGATCCGTCAAATGGAAGAAACCATGATATCTTGCGCGCGGAAGAACCACCATAATACAAGACAGACAAGACACACAAGAAGGCTAAGCCCAAGACATCCATCCATCCATCCATCATCCATCAGTGTAGCAGCCCCCAATAACAACCAAAAACAAAGCCAACAACAACAACAAAACATCAAAGAATATGATGAATGAATAACAAGAAAGCCGTAAGCGACAGCCCAGCAGCCACAGCACCGTCTGTCTGCTCGTGATTCGCCCCCATGATGAGTGATTCGATTGATTCCCTTTGATCCCCGACCGAACCCGACCCTGACCCCAGTGTCCTCCCGGTACGCCAGTGTTGTGGTATAGCAAAGAGGAAACAAAACAAGCCTCGTCCGTCGACATGGACAACCAAAGACTGAGGATAAATGACAACTGCAACAAAAAAAAAAAAAAAAAAAAAAAAAAAAAAAAAACAACATAGTACAACCAACTGGTTTTTAATGGGTATAAAAAAGAAGGGGAGTGATTCGTGAGCATCGCGTCCCTCACTGCTGCGTGCGTGCGCGCACCGCTTAGTGAGGGGGCAGGACGGGCTTGTGGTCGTTGTCGCCCTTGTCGGTCGGAGATAGCGAGCCGTCGTGCTTGTCGCCATCGTTCCCGGACGCCTTTCCACAGCCCTTGACCAGAATGTGCCTCTGTGATGCCGCGCGTTAGCAATAGATTCCAAGAAGCCTTTTATTCGAGCTGTACTAACCTTGAGCGCGTCTTTCCGCGAGAAGCTCTTGTCGCAGTGTCCGCACGGGAACGGCTTCACTGCCAGATGGATGCGCTTGTGCCGCTTCAGGTCGTGGTTGCGGTTGAAACTCTGCGGGCACTGGTCGCACTTGAACGGCCGGTCGTTCGGCGGTGCTTGCTGCGCCGCGTGGTGTCCGCCGTACATGTGCTGCATGCTCGCCGCATGCCCGCTGTTGAAGCCGTGCATCATGCCGTGCGGCATGCCGCCCACAAGCGCGAGCTGTCCGCTCGGGTTGTTGACGTTGGAAAGGACGGGACCAGGCAGAGGGTAGCTCTGGTACGGGCGCTGGTAAGGGTGCGGCGAATGCGACGGCGCGGACTGCAGGGATGGTATCTGCGCCGTGCTGTGCGCCGGAGACATCCTCGGCGGCAGTCCGCCCGCGCTGAGCGGCGTCGACTGCGTGGGCGACGGGCCAGTCGAGTAGGGGAAGTTGGACTGCTGCGGCGTCGATGACGAGTGCGAGCTGTAGTGGTAGGTTGGCGTGGGAGGTGGCCGGTGCGAATGATAGCCGTCTTGCGAATGGATGGGCGAGTGCTGAGGCGCCGAGGTGGTGACTGGGTTCTGGCTGCTCATCATGCTGGACATGCTCGAGTGCTGCCCCGACATGGTCGGAAGCGTCGAAGGGGCAGACATGGATGCTGAAGACGGAAAAGCCGGCAGGTTCAGGTCATAGGGTGGCGGAGGCAGGGCTGTCCTTTTGTCAGCCCCGACTTTGTCTGCGGCTACAACAAAGGGCGCATACTGACCTCGGGGAGTGGCGTACGACTGTGACGTCGCGGGAGCCTGAGCTTGGAATCCGTAGGGCGTGGATCCTTGGGGCGGCGGCGACCAGACGTATCCGTTGGGGTTGTAGGACGACATGTGGTGCTGGTGCTGGTGCTGCGAAGCTTGCGTGTGTGAACTCATGCCGTCGGCCAAGTTGCTAGGCGGAGTCAGAAGGTTGCCTATCGTGCCCGAGGCCGGGGATGACTGCGGCTGGTTGATGGGAGCGAAGGAGGGGAACTTCTGGTGGGCGTTGGACATGGGAGGGGGAGGGAGCTCGAAGCTAGGCAGAGACGAGGCGTTGGGCCTGCGGGCGGAGAAGCTCGAGGGTGCACCCATAGAATCCGGCCCCGGATGCATATGGGTCGGAAGAGCGACAGCGGCAGCCACGTTGAAGGATTTCTCGGGGCCCAGGCCTACTGGCCGATCGTTGTTGGAGGAGAGGGCGGGAGAGGGCAGAGGGTACAGATTGCTCGTGGGCGGCGGGGTTGTTTGCACGCCAGGCCAAGACTGACCGCTTTGTGACGTTTGGTAATCCAGCGTCAAGAAGGGAGGGCGAGGATTGTGATGGTGGTGAGGGGGGAGGAGGCTGCCGGGGCGAGGTTAAAGAGCAGCGTTTCCAGAAACGGACGGCGTCGCTCCCGAGGGCGGGAGGGAGGACCGAAGGCGATGTCGAGCAAGTATCCCTGCGGAAGTCGCACGAGTCGTCTGCAGGCCAGTCCGAAAGCCTTCTAGAAAGTCTCAGCGCTCGCCGGGTCAGGCGAAGGGACAACGATGCTTTGGGGCGAGCCCGGGTGCGTGGTCGTGCAGGCGCAGTGCGACGGGGGTGAGAGTGGCACGAAGCGGTGCGAGATCTCGGTCGATGGTAAAAAAGAAAGGGTCGAACCGGTTCCTGGGAAGGGAGGAGAGACACAAGCCACGGCGCACTCGGGATGGCTGAAGTCACGAATCTGGCGGCGGGTGGAGCGGCCGGCACGTATATGTAGGAGGGATGGGCGCGCGTGGCTGACTGGCCGAGCGATAGGGTTTTGTCCGTGCCCGGGAAGGCGAATCTGGATCGCCTGGCGATGGAAGCAGGAAAGGCAAGCGAGCAAAAAAGCAGCGGGAGATTTCGGTGCTAGCGCGCGCGCAGCGACAAAGGGCTTTGTCTCGCCCCTGACTGGGGGGCGGAAAGCCCCAGACAACACGCCGGACCGGACATGACTGATGGGAAATGGATTGGATGTGTGGTAGGGTAGGGTAGGGTAGGGCAGGGTAGGGTAGGGTAGGGTAGGGTAGGATAGGGCAGGGTAGGGTAGGATAGGGTAGGGGGGTAAGGGTAGGGTAGGCGAGCGAGCGAGCGAGCGGACAGGCTTTGTTGGGTGGCAGGGTGGCAGGCAGGCAGGCAGGCAGGCAGACAGGCAGACAGGCAGACACACGCACACACACACACCACACACAGAGTTAGGGTCCGAGAGACGGATTTCTCCGTTTCCCATTGAAATGATGGGCATGATGATGATTAGGGCATCATCATCATCATCCACATCACCCGCATCACCCGTCCGTATTATTATTATCATTATTATTCTTGTCCTGTCAGGCTCCCGGTGATGATCATCTAGTATCTCCACTACACTACTACTGTAGATACTTCTTCTCCCACACCCAGCCACCCGGTCGGTCGCTGCAGGCCCGTCTGCTTTCGCAAGTCACAAGAGCCGCACCGGGCTCGTGTCACAGGATCGCCATCCCGACGCGCATAGGCCAATGGGCGCGGAGGTTAAGCGACGGCCGTCTTTTCCCTCCCTCTTCGCTTTCGCTTTTGGCCAGACGCAAAACGGCGCCGGCCTACCCCGCGCGCCACGTCGTACGATAGACGCGCGACTGGTCATCCCTGTCGTCGCTCTCGGCGCGCCCGACTATGGGCAACAAGCCAGACCCAGCGACGCGGGTGCTGCTTCTTCCCCGCGCTCCAGCATCTCCATGGCGGCCACGCGACAGTCCGCCGCCGTGGGCTCTTGGGCCGCCGCTCACCAGAGATGCGCTGCTCCATGCCCCGTGCGCGCCCACCCGTCTGCACCCAAGCGCTTGCATTATTACGGCACATGCCGTGTGCCAGGGGTCTGCTTCAGCTCCGGCGCAACGATTTGCGCACCGCTCGCCAAAGCGCTGGGAACTCCGCGCGGGACGGCTTGCAGACTGTCGTCGTCGAGCACCGCCGCCTCGGTCCAGCCTTCAGGCCCTCCGCATTCCACGAGCCAGGGCATCCCTTTGCTCATCCAGCCGATCCCGGCGGATCTCCCACCGACACTCGATCGCTGCCCATCACTGCCTCGCCCGGCATGGCTGCTTCACGGCTGGCTGACGCCTCGTCCCCCATCCATGCGTCAAGCCACAAGCATCAGTCCTGCGTCGCCGCGAACTGCTGCTCTCCCCTCCCCCCAAAACCCCTGATCCATGACGCGCCTCCCCCCGATGCAGTCAGATTGATTGCCCTGTCTCAACGTGTGTGCCATCGATATTAACGCCCCATGAGACGCACCAGGCTATCTTTAGCACCGCTGGGCCATTTATTTTTTTCTGACGATAATTTCAATGTCAATGCCACAGCACGAGGCCAGCGAAGCCAAAAGAAAGCGTTATCGCGCTGCAGTCACCGCTTGCGCGCTTTGTTCGCGCGGCTCGCGGGCCGAGTCAGAAAGCGACCTAGGCCGGCACGCCAGCCCGGCGTATATTGTTTAGCAAGTCGCCGTTGCAAAGCAGGTCGAACCGTGCGACGGCGGGCTCGGAGCGACGACCGCGCGAGCCGTCGCTGGCCGGTCGCAAAACGAAACAGAAGGGCCTGGTCTGGGTCCGAGTGTGGAGTCAGAGCTTGGCACGAACCAAA